TGCGCCTCCTCTGAGCCTCGGTATGCTGTTCTCTTTCCTTCTAGTTGAAGAATCTCTCCTCAGCCAGCCTTCCTGTGGTTCTGGGTGATGTCCATTCCGTCTTTTAGTTGTATTTTTGAAGTGGTTGTTTGCGGCAGCAATCTCCGGTGTTTACCTATGCCGCCATCTTGGTTTCCTCCCCTCTGTGTTGTTTTGTCTCAGGTCTTGTATTATCTGACAGTTACATTTGGGATGTAATACTCCCTGGATGCAAATGCTAAGTCTAAGCCCAGGGTTTTCACTCTTCTGATTCCTTTTGTCAAATTTCCTGCACAAACTGTGCCTAATTTAACCTTTTCTCATCACCCCAGGAATATGGCACATTAAAGCTGGACTAGACACTGAAATCGGCTCCTCACCAAACGTGTGACTGCCAAAGTGATCTGAATGCCCACTACATGCAAAAGAGGCATATTTGCTACACTATTTAGTGGTTTGAGGTGGATAATTGAAAGATGTGTGTGGTCCAGTTCAAACTCTTTACCCTTAGTTCATGTTGAAAACTTAAGAACGTGGCCGTGTCCCGAAGCATAAGGTCCGTTTCATTTGGCTTGCTTGTTATATGAGTAGACACACAAAAAGAAGTTCAAGCTCACTGCTGTCTTTGTCTTGCCTTTTCGGCTCTGACTTTCCACTTTTGTTTTGAATAATTGTAAAATCCATCTTTCAAAATTAGCATTATCATGTAGACGCACTCCAAAAATAGTAGGGTTTATCACAGCCATGTGAAAGGGACAAATGCACGGGTGTTTCCCCGCTAAAAATTGTTGCATATAATTTGGTGTGCCAGACCCTTCCTCTGCTTTCAGTGGTTGCTAAATTCTCTCATGCTTTCCAGTTTTAAAATGTTGAAACAGAGTCGATCCCCTTGTGAGGATGAGTTCTGACTCGGTACTAGACTGAGCTCCAACACAAAGGGTCCTCCCTGCCTGCACACTGTCCCTCTGCAAATGCCTCACTTGGCTAATATTTCATTAAATTAAAGGGAGGACCCACCCACATACAATACAGTGTGAATGGTGCCTAGGGGATGCAACACTGGGACTGGGAGGGAAGCACAGCTGGAAGCCAGCACAGGGATTTTTTCAATGTCAGAGATTCCAACATTAAAATACCAGGAGGGGCAATTCTACCAGTATGTCTGCCAGATTTCTAACTGGGCAGCAGTGTCACTGCCGTCAGTCAATGACCAGCACTGACTGCTCTTGTCGGCTCCTCTGCAGGTCCTGCTGGCTCACACGAGAGAAACTAGGGTGGGCATGGGAACTCTACTGGGAAGCAGTGCTCATGAGGGATGGCAAAGGGCTGCCCTAAAATTGTACATTACATTCTAGAAATGGTATCTGATCCCAATTATAGCCATTAGGGAATATATCAACATGGACAAAACATATACTCAGAATTCCCTTATGGTCCAAATCTACTACCTACATAGAAGACGACAGTTTAAATGAAGGTAAAAATGTGACGCTTGGGAGTTTCATCATTTGAAAATAAGTCACACTTCCATTCTTAAAAATAATCAATACACTGAGGTCACTGCCCTTTGAATGTGGCTCAGGCTGGTGGCCAGCAGACCAGGGACTGACGCAGCTTGGAGATAGGTCACAGCTCTCGAGTCTGTGATAAGGAATAGCCTCCAATAAACTTCATTGTAAAGAATGAGACAAACAGCGCTGGAATGTTTGTGGTACAGTCCCGGGCTGACGTGGAGTCAGTGGAAAGGGGGAGTACTTACTTCCCCAAATAGATGGGATGTACAGATGCTGACAGTCCTTGAGAACTTGAGGAAAACTTGATCATCTGTGTCTTAATTTTCAAAAAGCTGATAAAGAAACAGATGGCACAAAAAGAAAATCTTTATCTGACAGTGAACCTGATAACAGCAAATTAGAATCTGCTGGCAAATCAAAAGGCTTTGCCACCATTATCAATGAGAATGAACGTTCCCCATGAAATGGAAAGATTTAAATGAAGAGGACTTGGGGTTGGCAATCAACGCAGACATGAATATCCTTAGATTGTAATTGCTTTTTATGAAGAGAGACTAATTGGGCATTTTTGTCCAGAAAGCAAAGCTCAGAATTGTTTTCATTGACAGATAAATATACATTGATATAAATAAATAAATACCCGAATCTTAACTTCTTTCCAGTATGAAAGAATACTTATGCTCTAATAAAAATTGAGTTTGAAATGTTTGTTTTGCAGTAGTATTTGGGAAAGTTGAGGGCTTTGTATGTCAATAACACTAATAAGTAAAAGTATTCTATAGTTGCTTCATTTGTTACAGATAAAAGAATAATCAATACACTGGTCAACTTTGTTAGTAAAAAAAATGCAAACTAAAGATGTTTCATATCTAATGTTAGAAAAAAATGCTTAATGCTGGAAAGCTCAGTGAAGTAGCTACATTTTAATTATTGAAGACAGTATAAATTGATAACTCTTAGACAAAGAAAAACAACTGGAATTATGTCAGGCCATGAAAATGTATATACCCTTTGACTCACTGCTGGGAATTTATAAAAAAATTTTTAAAAAGAATGGAAAAGCTCTATGTAGTAATGGCAACAAACTGGAAACAAGTGTCTAGTGAGGGGACTGGGTAAGTCAGAGGTTTTTAAGTTGACTATTTAAGGACTTTATAGCAGCATTTAATTATTTTTAAAAGCAAGTTACATTGTACTTACATAGTAATTAACATTTTAGAGAAATGATGCATGTGGAAAAGATGAAGTGAATATATAATTGTTCACAGTGGTAAAATCAGATGTGAATTTTTCTCATTTGCCATATTTTCTTCTTTTTTTATATATATATTTTATTGATTTTTTTACAGAGAGGAAGGGAGAGGGATAGAGAGTTAGAAACATCGATTAGTGAGAAACATCGATCAGCTGCCTCCTGCACACCCCCTACTAGGGATGTGCCCACAACCAAGGCATATGCCCTCCCTTGACTGGAATCGAACCTGGGACCCTTCAGTCCGCAGGCCTGTGCTCTATCCACTGAGCCAAACCGGTTAGGGCTGCCATATTTTCATGTACATCAAGAAATATATTTCTATTATGAGATGTGTAAATCTTTAAAATAATTTAACATGCATGTCTAAAAAAATTGCTGATTGAGAGAATGTAGGGAAAGGTTCTTACTGTGTAATTCCTTTTATCCCTGTAAACACACTGCTTGGCTAACAGGAAATGTGCGTGTGCTGCTGCGTAAAGCTTTCTAGTCAACCAAATGCCCCACGTGCCCGTGTGTCTCCACACCAGACAAAGCCCCAGTAAGAACAGTGGTTTTTTTACCCCTAGCTGAGCACGTACTGTACTCCCCCCACATACAAAACATTCATCCACAGAATAGTAAAAAATACATATATATATGGTGCTAGTTCCTAGTACAAGACAATAATTCAATCTAAAAACTTACAGGAAGATAATTAAAATATTTCTACTTTTAATTGTTGTTCATAAAACTAATGACACGAATATTTTCATCTTCTTTATCAAATGAGTGGTTATGCCTAACATAAAGGACTAGTTATCACTTAAGATAGCATGTTATCATTTTCACATCATTGCTCTCAGGTTTGGAAACTAATTAAATCTGCTGTCAGCATTCTGTTGCAGAGCTAGGGAGCCCGCTCCTTTAGAATGCTCTAGCAGCTTGATGGCCTTGTCGGAGCTTTCAATATTTCTAAGCAGAGTCTCCAAGCGTCTCTTAATTTTCTTCTGATCTTCAAGTGCACAGCCAATGACTATGGATTGAAACTTCTGATCAACTGGCCCAGGCGGCACCTCAGAGGAACACGCACTGTACAGCGACATCAAGTGACTCTTGGCATTTCCCAAATCATTCAGAAACTTACTGACCACCTCATCGATAATCCTGGTGGCGTGCTTTAGGGATTCCTGCTGCTGAGGGTTTCTAATGGTTTCCACTGAAACTTCAACAGTGAGGGTTCGTCCCATCAGACGGTTTGCGGTCAGATTTAATTCTTCTCTTTCTCCTAAACATAAAAAGTTTGAAATACCAATCACTGTGAGTCATAAACTCATCTATGTTGAGGGGTTCAGAACAGGCTTCTCCACAATGTGCTACATTGGCATAGGGATTATTTTGAGCTGAAGGCGATGGAGACCCTGAGGGTTCATGAGAAACCCTTACCTCTCCCTTAAAGAATTTAAATTAGGGGGTTTGCTCATGGTAAGAATTCTTGCCAGAGATAATTTTTATGACCCATCCACAGGGCAGGGCAAACTTCTAATAACTGAGCATCTCTTTATTGTCCTGCAAATCTCCCTCTCCCCTCTGCAGCCCCAGACGCCGTATCTCATACCTTAGCTCACATTGTCGAGTATACCTCACTTTACCTTTCTACCTCTACCTCTCATGTATGGGGCATGTCTCTGACTCTCTCATGTATGTGAGGTTCCCATATGAACGTTATGTAATTAAATTTGGTTATTTTTCCATTGTTAATCTATCTCCTGTTGATTTAAGTACTAGTCCAGCCGAGAGGATCTAAAAAGGTAAAGAAAAATTTCTTCCTACTCCAACAATGTCAAGAACACTAACACATTTATTTGTGGCTAAATCTATTTTCTGAGGTCACCTCTGCTATGAATTTCCTAAGGGTTAGTTAAAGTTAAAACTATAGCATATAAGATTAACTGATAAAGTGCATTGGTTTAGAGAGGGAGGTTGAAGAATACCTTTCCCTGGCCCAGCCAGTGTTGCTCAGTGGTGAGCATCGACCTATGAACCTGGAGGTCACGGTTTGATTCCCGGTCAGGGCATATGCCTGGGTTGTGGGCTTGATCCCCAGTGTGGGGCATGCAGGAGGCAGCCGATCAATGATTCTCCCTCATCATTGATGTTCTTTTTTTTTTTAATATATTTTTATTGATTTTTTACAGAGAGGAAGGGAGAGGGATAGAGAGAAACATCGATGAGAGAGAAGCATCGATCAGCTGCCTCCTGCACACTCCCTACTGGGGATGTGCCTGCAACCAAGGTACATGCCCCTGACCAGAATCGAACCTGGGACTCTTCAGTCCCCAGGCCGACGCTCTATCCAGTGAGCCAAACCGGCTAGGGCATCATTGATGTTCTTATCTCTCTCTCTCTCCCTCTCTCTTCCTCTCTGAAATCAAAAAAATAAAAAGAATCCCTTTCCCTGAAAGTCTGTATACATGGAATACCAGATGACTTCTCAAGCGGTCACATTTGCCAAGTCAGGGCAGGTATGCGTTTGTAGCTGGGATGGAGATCAGGTCTTAACACCGTGTGAACAGTGAGCATAACTAGGTTTTATGCCGGTTACGGCTGCAGAGAGCAGATGTCCTGTGTCTCTCCAAAGGATGTGCATGTAGGGGAGGAAAAATAATTGTCACTCTATCTTTCTGAGTTCTTGTCTGAGAATAAAAGATTAACAAGGACAAAAATATAAAAGCTTATTAACATGTGTAACTCACATATACATGGAAAACTGAGTAACTCTACCACCTTAAATACCATCTTCAGCTGAAGACAAAAGATGTTGGGGAGGGAAGGAAGCCAGTTATGGGAGGTGACCAGAAAAAGCACGGTAAAGAGAATAAGATTTAACTACAGTGAGCACCTTCTTCATTGATAAAAGTCCTTGTGACTCACAGTCCCCTCCCTGGCACAGAGAGGGAGACACCCTTACATGTGGAAAGTTGCTCTATAAATGTAAATTTCTCTTACAAAAGGGTAACTTCTCTGTTTCCAGAGCTTCTCTTGCCTCTGCAGTTTCTCAAAAATAATCAGCTCAAAATATCCTTGTGCCAAAGCAGCATATTTTGGGGTGGCATATTTTGTATGTTTATCAGAATACAATGCCCCAATTTGGGCTGAGAAAAAAAACCATGAAAGTGGTGAAAAGCTGGCTGAAAATTAGGCCTCAACTTCACCCCCTCAAGACAAATTTAAGACGGCCAGTGGTCTAAGTCTCAGCCAGCACCCAGAAGCAATGATGGGAAAAGGGACTCTGTCAACACCTCATTATTTATATGAAAAAGTCAGCAATCCCCTACGTCCTTTCTAATTCATTGACCTTTGGAGGGAAGTTCTGTGACTTCCTAATTCCTTGATCTTTGGCCAGGATGGCGAAGAGATCCGACCCTATTGTGGACTCTGGAGGTAGACTGCTCTCGTACTGTACAGCTACCTGGCCCACTAGCTTGTTCTGTGAAGGAAGCACCAAATTAGGAAGGTCATCACCAGCGAACACAAATCACAGCTGACCTGTTCCTCAGCGAACACAAATCACAGCTGACCTGTTCCTCCAGGGCAGTCATGCTTTTCATATGAAAATGATGGCACGTTTTTATATTAATGGGGTTTTATTGGGGTTGTAGTTTATTTTCTTGCATTTTTCTCCCTTCCCATCTCACCTTTTCCCTGTGCTTTTTTTTTATAAGGTTACTTTTTTTTTTTAAATGTATTTTGTTGATTTTTTACAGAGAGGAAGGGAGAGGGACAGTTAGAAACATCGATGAGAGAGAAACATTGATCAGCTGTCTCCTGCACACCCCCTACTGGGGAGGTGCCCACAACCAAGGTACATGCCCTTGACTGGAATCGAACCGGGGACCCTTCAGTCTGCAGGCCAACGCTCTAGCCCAGCCGTGGGCAAACTAAGGCCCGCGGGGGCCGGATCCCGCCTGTTTGAAATGAATAAAACTAAAAAAAAAAAAAAACGAACCCTTTTATGTAATGATGTTTACTTTGAATTTATATTAGTTCACACAAACACTTCATCCATGCTTTTGTTCCGGCCCTCCGGTCCAGTTTAAGAACCCATTGTGGCCCTCGAGTCAAAAAGTTTGCCCACCCCTGCTCTAGCCACTGAGCCAAAGCGGTTAGGACTTCCCTATGCTTTTTAAAAAGATATGTTTTTATTGATTTCAGAAATGGAAGGAAGAGGGAGAGAGACAGAAACATCAATGATGAGAGAGAATCATTGATTGGCTGCCTCCTGCACACCCCACACTGGGGATCGAGCCCGAAACTCTATGCCCCCACCAGGAATTGAACCGTGACCTCCTGGTTCATAGGTCGACACTCAATCACTGAGCCACTCCAGCCAGGCTCCCTCTGCTTTTAATTCTACATTCCAGTAACTTCGATAGAACTTAAGTTCTATACTTGGCCTTATTGCTTGGAGCTAGCTTTTCTGCCAAAGGAGCTTGGAGGCCTTTTTCCATCACGTCCGGCCTCGGCCTGGGCTGGGGAGTATAGTGGGAGAATGATCTCTTGTAATAAACTGACAGCTGCAGCTGCTGCCTGCTGCTCACACTGAATGCTGAAATCGGGTGTGCTCATACCACAAGTCAAGCAAAAACTGACCCACGCGTATCACAAACCCCACAGAGGGTGTAAAAGACGAGCCCCCGTCCATGGAACCAGCTCTCACCATCGCTGATCTGCCTCATGTCCTGGCTGTTCTGGATACTGTGGATCATTTCCAGGAGGATTTCTCTCTCTTGCTCAATGGCAGTTGCTGCTTCTCTTAAAGCTTCCACCCTATAGAGAAACACAGCAGTTACTACATGGACAATCAGTGGTCCTCACCCTTCCGTCATTCAATTCAAGTTTAAAGATCATTAGGAAGACTTTTCAAGACGTCGTTATTCCTTTTATTTTTTATCCTTTCATTTTTATGTTCTTTTTAAATCCACTTACCCCACTCCCATTCCCCCCCTGCTCTACTTAGTGGTTATCTGTTTGTTCTTGCAAAAATATGTATTTGTGTATTCATGTTTTCAATTTATATATCACGCTCAGCATTGTTTTATTAAGAACCATCTAATCAGTAGCTTCTAAATGTTGCCCAATTCTCCACATGTATATCCACCTGATTTTACCTCCCAGTAGAGACACTCCCCCTGTCCTTCAGCTATTCGCCACCACAAACAACACTTCAATGAATACATGCCCCTTAAGAACCTGCGTGAGGGCAGAACTGCTGAGACAAAGGGTGTGTGTACCTTCATTTGACTCAGTACGAGGACTGCTCTCTAGAATGGCTATACCAGGCCATACTCCTGGCAGCAAAGCACAGCAGTCCCTATATCCCCACAACCCTACCAATACTCAGCATTTTCCAATTTTCTAACTATTGACAGTAAGTGTAGTGATAACTCAATACTTAATTTGCATTTATTTCATTAATAATTTCAGACATCTCTTTGTATCCTTGTTAGCCTATTCATAGCCTTTATCTGTTTTCTTTTTTAAACAGGGATTGCTGTCCTCTTGTTGATTTGCATACTCAAGATGCGAATCCCTTGTTGGTTACAGATAATGCAACCATCTTCTCCCATCCTATCATAATATATTAACGCTGGGATACTCTTCACTGAACGGAGATTCTTATTTTGAAATGATCAAGTTCATCTTTTCCTGGTTTTGTTTTGCCTTATGATTTATGCTTCTGAAATTTTTTTTCAGGGTCTCCCCCATCCCTAGGTTATAAGATGTTGGCCTACATTTCCTTCTGTTAACTCTATCATTTTACCTTTATCCTATTTATATCTTTTCCTTTTTTAAAAATCCTCACCTGAGGACATGTTTATTGATTTTTAGAGATGGAAGAAAAGAGGAGGGAGGGAGGGAGGGAGGGAAGGAGGAGGGAGGGAGGGAGAGAGAGAGAGAGAGAGAGAGAGAGAGAGAGAGAAGCACTGAGCAGCTGCCTCCCATATGCGCCATAACGGGGAATGGAACCCACACCTAATCTTTTGGTGTATCAGATGATGCTCCAACTGAGCCACTGGCCGGGGCTCCTATTTACATCTTAACCCATCTAGAACCCACCGTTATATGTAGTTAGGTAAGGATATTGTTTTATTTTTCTCCCCATAGAGACTTTTTTCTCCAATATGATCCACCAAAAATCTATTTATCCCCCAGTGATTTGTAGATGGTCTACATCTGAAATCTCTATTCCATTGACTGTTCTTACAAAAATACCCACTTTGAAAAATAGCACCTGCCCCGACCAGTGTGGCTCAGTTGGTTCTTGGTCAGGAAACATGCCTGGGTTGCAGCTCAATCCCCGGTAGGGGGCATGCAGGAGACAGCCAATGGATGTTTTGCTCTCATATCGATGTTTCTCTTTCCCTTCCTCTCTTTAAAATTTAATAAAAATTTTTTAAAAATTAAAAAATATAACCAGTCTTATAATATGCCTTAATATTCAGTAGGAACAGCCTCCTAATCTTTTTTAAAGAAAACCTATCTATTTAGACTTTTATTCTTCCATGTAAACTCTAGAATAAGTGTATTGGGTTTTTCCAAAAAAAAAAAAAAAGGGCAAATCTGACATCTTTCTAATACTGTATCGTCATTCCATGCAAAAACATGATATATCTCCATTTATTCAGATCCTCTTCTATATTCTTTATTAGAGTTTTGAAGTATTCTTTATTTTTCTTTTGGGAGCCACTACTTGGAACTGCACACTGTAGGTGGTGATTTCATCTTGTGATGAAGTATTCTTAACTAGATGCCTGGTGCACAAAATTTGTGCATGGGTAGGGTCCCTAGACCTGGCCGGTGATCAGGGCCGATTGGGGCCTTCTGGCTGCCAGCCGAGGCCTTCCTTCGTTCCGCACCACCCACTGGTGGTCAGCGCATGTCATAGCAAGCGATCAAACTCCCAAGGGGACACTTTGCATATTAGCCTTTTATATATATAGACTAGAGGCTCGGTGCATGAAAATTCGTGCACTTGTGGGGGAGGGTCCTTTAGCCCGGCCTGCACCCTCTCGCAGTCCGGGACCCCTCGGGGGATTCCAACTGATGGCTTAGGCCCACTCCCTGGGGAATTGGGCCTAAGCTGGCAGTCAGACATCCCTCTGGCAGCCCAGGAGCCCTCAGGAGATGTCCAACTAACGGCTTAGGCCTGCTCCCCTTAGAGCTACCACAGAGGCGGGAGAGGCTCCCACCACTGCCGCTGCGCTGGCTAGCCATGAGCCGGCTTCTGGCTGAGCGGCACTCCCCTTATGGAAGCGCACTGATCACCAGAGGGCAGCTCCTGCGTTAAGCGTCTGCCCCCTGGTGGTCAGTACTCATCATAGTGAAGGGTCATTCTGCCAATAGGGTCAATTTGCATATTACCCTTTTATTATATAGGAAGTATGGTAGTCTTGTGGACTCTTCAGTGTTCTAGATAGTTTGTGGATATTGTTGCTACTGTGAATAATATATTTTAAATGATATTTTCTAGTTGGTTTTTTCTGGTTAAAGAATGCTATTTTTCTAGTGTCATCTTTTAGCTGGCAACCATGACTTATACTTAATTTTAATGGTTTGTCTTTTGATTCTATTGGTTTTTCTTTTCTAGATTGATGATCATAAAATGATAGTTTTTATCTCTTCCTTTTCAATGTTATTAGCTAGTTTTCTTTTTCTTTTTTTATTTTAGAGAGTAGGAGAGAGAAATATCGATTTGATGTTCCACCTATCCATGCACTCACTGGTTGATTTTGTATGTGCCCTGACTGGGGATCGAACCCGCAACCTTGGCATATCAGGATGGCGCTCTAACCAACTGAGCTACTCCGCCAGAGCTATTAGCTCCTACTTTTCTTTATATAATACTGAATACAGTCCTCTAGTACTGTAAGCAGTTGTAAGAGAAGGCATCTTTGCCTTTTCCCAAATTTAAAGGGAATGCCTCTGTAGATTTTTGGTACAGAGCCATGACCAGGCTGTAGACGTACTACTTTCCCCAACTATACACATCCATGTACTTATTACTACGCATATGCATGAACACACCCAGTCATGTGGAATCATGAGAGCAAGAAAAAGAAATTCTGTATATTTAAAGTGCACTGTTTCCAGGGCACTTTCTTGCTATATATTACCCTGCAATTACACAAGCTTCCAACTTTTCCAAAATAAACAGTGACAGATCTAGCCCCAGTATCCAGATGGTCTTAGAAACCCAAGATCACTGAAGATCTAATCCTGACTGCTGCCTGAAGTGGGTCCAGAAGGAACGACCTCACCAATGTTTTAGCACGTGTCCATTCCATATAAGGATCCCCCCTCCTCACCCCAACCACACATACGCCTTTTCCCCAACAGTCACCCACCTGTTATACCCCAAAATAGCACTCATAAGCAGAAAAGTCACAGGGTCCCTTTACTCATCAAGATGCTAAATATATGTTGGACTTTGCATTTATAAAAGCCAGTAAAAGCAAAGAGCTGTAAAGAATCTTACTACATAATATGGCTAGGAAACAATGAAAATTAATAATCTATAAAATAGGAATAATGCAGTATCAGGCCTTCTTCTAGCACCATTCATGATGTACTTACACAGTTTACATTTGCAAACTCTCAGATAAACTAGGGCCTAGTACACATGAAAGAGACTGAGTTGGCACTAATATGAAATATTTATGCTAAAAACACAAACCATGACTCTAGTATTTAAATGAACCATGGTCCACAGATGAACCATGTGACTGGTACATGAGAAGATGCTAAAGAAGAGATTAATTTTTTAACACTCGAGTTTGCATTCAAATGGCAGGTGATAAAGAATTGGAAGTTTTTCTAAAAAAGGACACTTCATTTACAACAGCAAGTTACAACAGTAAGTTCATGGTATTGTTAACAAAAAATGGTTTAAAAGGAGACATTCTAGAAAAAATATAACCTATCCCATGAAGAAGTATTTTGTCATTAAACAAGACCAAATATAAAGGAAATTAGATGGAACTTTTATGGGTTCCCCCTCAACCCCCCGCCCCCCACAAGACTAGAAATGGACAGGGCTTTTTCCCTGTGAAAAACAGATTTCATGTTTTACAGAACTTCTTATGTATATTTTCACATACGCCTTTTTCATATCATAGCAAAGGTAAAATGTCAGTCTTCAGAACCAAAGTTTTTTTGTTAGTTTTTGGCATCCTTGACCTTTCATTTGCTATTCCCTCTTCTGCGACATTCCTTATCCTTGACCCTAGTCCACTGGTGAAACTTTTTCAAAACCCAATCCTTTGCACAGGAACTGTTTCCTTAACAACTTCCCCCCTCCCCCCCTTGAGGAGGCATTGGTTAATGCTTCCCTTGGCACTACTGTACATCTGTCTAGTGTATGGACGATATTGTATTTTTAATTTTTTCTTTTAAAAAGCTGTACCCAGATCTCTACTTAGCTTGTTTAAGTAAACTTGTACTGTTTATCAGCTACTGGTATCTTAAATACAACTCATATAATCTACCTTTCTTCTAGTTCTAGAAAATTGTAAGCCATTGTATCTTTGAATATTCCCTGTCCTCCATTCCATTATTTTCTTCTGGACCTCTGGGTAGACACTGTTGGACTCTCTCACTTTATCCTTCATGGTTGTTTTTTTTAACACATCATTCGACAGCACTTTTCTTGGCGGAGAGGGCAGTTCTGTTTTCACTAACAGATCGTGGAAGCAGCTACACGTCCAAATTGGGAAAGAACCTATCCTCACATCAAGGCCGGCCTGGGCTGTGCTTCTGGAAAACTCTCT